TAACTGACTTGAATCCATCTGAATATTTATTTATTTTCTGTCTCTTTTAATCAGATTGTTCTATTATTATGTTCATGTAATTCGACAAAGGAAAATAAAAAAAACGTTGTAATTACCAGTTGCATAATTAATATGGTACAAAAAAATAATCGAACTGAAAGTGAATTTTAAAATTAAATCATTGACAAAAGAAAGAAAAAGTTAGGGTGATCTTCAGGTACAATGGGAAAATTAATGTCTTTTCGATTTTCGACTATAAAAACCGGTATTTGAAACTTACTTTCTTACAATTATCCGTAGTTGAAAGTATGTAGTAAAATTAAAAATGGCGCCTTCAAGTAGTGAAACACTTTGATGTATTTTAGAAGAATCATGGTTTTAATCACTTTCATTCATTTTATTTTGCCGCTCTTATCACCAAATTTATATTTTATATTAACGTATTTCCTATGCATAAATCTCATTGTTGTTTTTACGATTATATTTCTTAAATTTTATTAAATATTACAGTTCTTCAAATTAGACACGGCATTTTTGCGTAACAAGGTCGCCATCGTAAAGAATTTTAGATTTTCTTTCAATTATGTTTGCATCATATCGAGCCAAAACACAAGACACATGGCCTGAAGATTACGTTCGAGTATCAAACAAACTGACGTAGCTTCGTATTGACTACAGTGTCCACTTTTATATTTAAATACGGTCTTTTACCCATATATATATATATATATATAAATATATATATATATATGCGTGTCCCGTACTTTCGGCCTTGTGCCACATGTAAGCCGCGCTTAGAAAATCAATATATATATTTGCGATGGGTAAATTGTCGCTACATTATATTTTAATTTTCGTACATACGCGTTGTTGTTTTTTTATTATTTTATTTTTTTGACTGCACAATATACTAGGGTCTAATGGGCACCATCTATAAGAAAAGAAGCCCCATGACGCAATTCACTCCGCCAGAATTTTGGAAACTGCATGGTGTACTGCTTGGTATTCGGGCCGGAAGCTCCAATACGAACATTTCAGAGTGTTTGGGTGTCAATCTGAGGACAGTACAGAGGATTTGGAAAGAGTTGGATGAGTCTCATATATATATATATATATATATATATATATATATATATATATATATATATATATAATTTGGCTACTCATTTTCAAATTTAACCGTTTTCTATCTAGTTAGATAATTCCTGTTACAAAGCACTTTCTCAAATTTAATAACTCAAAAACAAAGGATTCGCGGACATATTTTCTTGTTTGGATTTGGGGAACACGCCGTAAAATTTCGCAAATGTATTCTTGATACACCCTGTATATAGCAATATCCAAGATGCATTTCACCAAAAATCGGTCGACAAGTTTAATAATAGAAGATAACGTTTTTATGGCGAAATCCTGTCAAACCATGAAATGAAGGTCGTCCTAAACAGGTTCTCTTCCAGTTCCCTTCACACGAACGCTGGTGTTCCCCAAGATTCTATCCTGGGTCCTACGCTGTTTCTGATCTTCATTAACGATCT